TATGCGTTCAAGCAGTCTATACATAACATTTTGTACTTAAATAAAATATATACATATTAGTATAAACTTTTCGTTATCTTCATGAGTTCGTAATTAAAGTATAGTCATTATTCTGACATATAATTTCTATACTGAAAGCAATTCATGGTGTATCATAAGATGTATGCCATGTCTGCATTGTACTTACAGCAGTGATAAAACTAAGAAATTACAATAAATGCTACGCATTTGTAGTAATATAATTCTTTCTAATGGCAGCTTATAGAATAAAATATTTTATTGTATAAATGTGTAAATTTCATTGGTCACCTTTTATGTTCATTTTAGACTTTGTTTTTTAATAGTTACTATGGTATATAAATAAAAACAATGAAATAAATAATGCAATTCACTTAATAAATTATACTTTGAAAAAGAACTTTAGATTCTACCAGTTATATTAATACTAGTAATAATTAATGTATAAGCTGAGTAGAATTAATATTGAGTAAAAATAAGAACAAAAAAATATGTCTTATGTGGAACATGGTCCACGAATTTTCTTAGCTAGTAGACCCAACTCAACCACACCTCTGATATATGGTGACTATGTTTTACCAAAAAAACGTTTGGAAGGTCGATTAAAGTTACATGATTCTTGTTCAGATATCAGAGCTTGGAGTCCAAATACTTTAGAAAATTCGCGTTACTTTCGCGAACTTAGCGAACATGATTCACCAGTATGTATTTAATTAAGTACACATTTTATAAATTGAAAAAAAACTTTGTTATATATTTTCTTCCAGGTAGGAAAAATAGTACCTTTCAATGTAGTGATTGATAATATAATACAACTCAACTCTCAAGCTCAAAATGAACTTCATGCAGTTAAAAGAGAGTTACAAAAATATAAAAGTCTTAAACTCACTCCTAAACAAGAAGAACAATTACAAAATTTAGTAAGTAACTTTTGAAGCATATAATATTATGTTATGTTATTATGTAGTATTTTTAGAATTATTTAATAATTTCATACTATTTCACAATATTTTCTGTATAGGATAATGCTTCAAAAATAAGAGAATTACCACAGAAAACCAATTACACAACAGGATTTTTAAAGGATGCATTTCTTAATATTAGCAAATCAGGACCTGTGGTTCAGTCAAATTCATGTTTATCAATTCATATACCTTGTGAAAGATATTTTCAGAATGATACAAGGAATGTATCAGCCATAAGAAATCAATCCAATCAATTGTATTCTTACACTTTAACTCCATTTGATGTGGATTCAGCTTTGAACAATTATAATTTCGTATCATCTTGTAAAAGTACCATGAAATTACTTCCTACAGCAGGTACAGATAAGAGTATATCAAATATTTATTTTAAAAATTTTTATTTTTATTCCAATTTTGTAGATTACAGTGAGAAAAAAGAAACACATGATGTAGAAGTACAGACTGATGATCAAGTTGATAAATATTTAAACAAAATTATAACTGTATCTGTATGGATATAATCGACTTTCCTACCATTTAAAGAACTTATTTACATAAATATTATTTTTTAGGCAATGTCACAAACATCATTCACATCTAGATATAGCGACGAGGATAATAGTACGATAGAACCAGATAAAAGTAGTTTGCAAACAAATAATCATGAAGAACAAAGTTTTGAATGTGATGCATCTTGTAGTGAAAGTTCACAAGATATTGAAAGTCCATCAGAATTTGATAGCGAATTAGGGACAGAATCTGATTATAATCTGCATAATAGCATTCATAAAAGAATTATCATTCAAAAAGATGCAGAAATCATTGCTTTAGGAAATGATCTTTGTGTATGAAATATTCTTGTTATATTTTATATAATTACAATAATCATATTTCTGTCATATTTGTTATTATATCTAACTAAAGTAATTATTTCTAATTTCAAGGTAAAGGATGCCGAATTAGAAGAATTGCGAGATATGAATAAAGATTTGGAGATTTTATTAAAAGACAAAGAGGATTGTATACACAGTCACCAAGGGAATCTTAAAGCAAGTCTACAAAATGCAATTTCACAAAATAACTTATTTTATGAAAAGATTACACTCAATTGGTAATTAATAATTATTGTACAGATATTACATGAAAAATTATTGAAATTGGATCATCAACGTAATTGTGAAGTAGAAGATTTGAAGCAAAAGGTAACATATACTTCATATATGAACTAATTTTGTAAATGTGTATTCCTTTCTTTTTCAGTTCTATGGTTGTAAATATTTGATGGATCAACTCAAACAAGATCTAAATGAAAAATGTGAAAGTTGTTATTTACAATCACAGGAAATTGAAAAGTTCAGATTATGTGCTGAAAAAGCAACAACACTGCAATTAGAAAAAGATTCACTTTTAGTAAGTAATTTTACATATTTTAGTAGATATAGTACATATTTTTAATTGCAGACAAAATTGCAAAAAATGGAACAACTGGCTAAGAATGCTGAAAGTTATAGTATGGTTCTGGAACAATTAAAAAGCGTCTTGCAAGAAAAAGATGAGCTTAAAAAACAAAATTATGAACAAAGTTGTGTATTAGCAGATCAAGAAGAAGAACTAAATCAATTATTAAAATTGATTAAAGGAATGTCTGTTACATATCATGAACAGGTATATTATTTTTATTGTACTTAGTAAACACTTCATTGATTTATAATTATTACACTCTATATGGCTAATTAGATGGAAGCAAAGAATATGTCAGAAAACTTACAAGCTGAAATTCGCAATAAAAGTATCAAAATTTCTCAATATGAAGCACAGCTAGGTTTGATGAAACAAGAAATTAGTGACTTTTTTAATAATTTGAAATATACTTTAAACAATTTGGAAGAGCTTAACGGAGTGTGCGAAGAAGTTTACAGTTGTACAAATTGTGACTTGGATATTGGTGAAGAAGCAAATAATATACTATGCAATATAAACATCATTATGACAAGATTTCAAAGTTATAAAATAGAAAGTCAGAATCTTTTACAAGAAATAGGAGATTTAAAGCATTATATAGAAAATAATAAGCAACAAACCTATCTTAACCAGAACTTAGAAAGCATGATTTGTAAAGATTTTTATTATGATTCTGATGTGGATTTAAGAAATACAAGTAACGTTATTATGTAGCAAGTAGAATTATATTTTTTATTATAAATTAAATTGATACTATGAATAGTTTATTCATTTAGTTGAGAAGGACAATGCAGAGAACAAAATAGTGCGGTTAAATGTAAGGCGAGATAAAAGTAATGAGAATGAAATAGTATTTGAAGATCTTTTTAACTCAACCAGTACTGAACATGCATTAAATGAAATAACAAACAATTTGAATTCTTATGGGCTCGAAAAAGTAATACTTTCATTAATTTAATCTCCTACTTCAAAATAAATAACGATATGCTCTTTTTAATAGGAATGTCACAATTATATGATCAAATTGAATAGAAAGGATAATATAGATGAAATAGAAAAAGAAATTATAGAATACTTTTCGCATTTCTTAATTAAGTTGCGTTTTCTTATACAAAAACTACAAATGTATGCAGAAATTGAGCGTCCTTTAATGATTAAACAAACTTACTATTTTTATGAAATTCTTAAGGACACACAATCAGCTATTAATATTTCTCAGGGTGGGCTTAACTTTTGATTTATATTTCTACAAAATCGATATTAATATGCATTATATTAATCTTCCCTCTAGATGTAACTTTAAAGAAACAGTTAATTTCTGATTTATATAATCAGCATAAAGAAGAATATAAGAAGTATAATTCTTATATTAAACAATTACCTAATAACTTATTACAAGTACAAAATAAAATAAATGAATTTATTGAAACCATTTTGCATCAATTATTAAATGAAATATTATGTACAGAAAAGCAAAATTTATGTGATGAAAAAATTAACCAAGCATTTGAAAAACATTTAAGCTCTTGTATCAATAGAATAAATGTAGCTATCCAAGGTAATTCTTAAATATTTCAATTACGTAATACTACACAATAATTTTAATTATTTGTTGCATATATAGAATTCTAGAATTATTTATTGTAATAACTTACCTCAAATTATTTAAAAAGAATCACTTTTTTCTTTGACTATATTAATAAAGCATATACCAATATAATGTATATCAAAAAATATTGTTGTTAAGGTGCTGAAGGTCAATGCACGCAAATAATTGAAACAATAGAAGAACAACAAACAGAATTACAAAAGAAAAACATAGAAATAGCTCAATTAAAGAAAGAAGTAGCGCATCAGCTATTGCGAAGAGGAGAAGGTGACTGTTTAATTAAAGAACAATGTGAAAACAATGTTGTAATGAAAGAACAGTTATCAGACATAACTGCAGAACTTAATAAAAAAAATGCACTCATATTAAAATTTGAAGAACAGCTTCAAACATTTAAAGATGAATTGTCCACTTACAATAAAGATTGCAATGCACTAAAAAAAGAAAAGAAAAATCTTGAAAATACTGGAAATAGATTATTGAATGAATGTCAACAGAGTGAAAGACAGTTAATAACAAAAAATGAAGAAATTAAGAATTTATCACAACAGGTTCAAGAGCTCCTTGAAACTGAAAATTTAAAGAGTACTTTAGAAAATGAACTTAAAAATATGGAAAAAGGGTAATAATTTTTTTTTATTGCTACTTGTTATTTTATACTGTATTCTAATTATCAATATTTCTATAGGTTGATTAATTTACAATCTGAAAACAATGAATTACAGAAAAAAAATAGGCAGGCAAATGCAACTATTTCTATAAAAAATGAAACTATAATTAGTTTGAAGAGTAAGATTGATAGAAATGATATGTTATCGCAAAAAGTTGGTGAATATGAAAACGCAATTGAAGAAAAACATTATGAAATCAAAAAACTAGAAGATGAAAATAGATCATTGAAAGAGAAATTGAAGGATGTTGAAAATGCGGTTATAAAAATGAATCAAATAATAGCATCATTAACCGAACAAAACGATAAAATTGATATCATATATACGATGCAAGAAGATCTTACAAAAATAGATAAAAACGAGAAGAAATTAAAAATTGAACTTAATAATCTAAGAACACAACTGCTAAATGATCAAAATAATAATAAAAAGCTTGATAATAAATTAGACATATTTTTACGTGAAAATGACATCTTGAAAAAAAATGTGGAATATTGGAAAAATGAAAACTCTGAATTGTCGATTAGGCTTTGTAATGAAGTAGTTGAAGAAAAATTAAGAAGCAAATTGTATACTCTTTCCAATATAAAGTTAATAAAATAAATTTATGTATATGCTTTATTTCTTATTATTTATTAATGTTTGTTTTATTCTTAGATATATCAAGAAACAAAATTAACAATACATAATGTAACTAACGATTTAAAATCAGAATGTGGGGAACAAAGACGAGAAATAAAAGAGAATGAAATAGAAGCAATTGAAACGCAAGTACTAAATAATATAAACATAAAAGAAGAAATAGGCAAAAGCAATTATGTGATATTTGAGCAATTCAATTCTTCAGAAGATAATAGTTTCAAGATGAAGAATAAAATTAAATATCCCGAAAATGAACATAATGAAAACCAGAATGAAATTGAGAAATTATTACATGACATTGAGATTAAGGATTCTGAAATAAGACATGATAAAGAAGTCATAAAACAATTAGAACAAAAAAATGCTGATCTTCATGCCATACTTAAAGTAGCTATTACTTAATATTAGTATAGAAAATTTATTATTTCTGCAAATATGTATACTATATTTAGCAATGTTGTATCATATAATCTTTTTATTTTAATATTTCTACAACCTTTATATAGTCTCACATACAAGAATATCAAGATAAGTTAATGTTAATGAAAAAAAATTATGGTAGTAGTGTAAATGCACTTTGTGAAAGACACAAAGCAAATATTGAAATTTTACAAAAACAATTCGAAGATAACATGAGGTGCGAAAGAAGTTTTGACTCGGAAAATTGGTTACAAGTATGTAACTGCATTTTCATATAATAGTGGGACATTAATTGATGACAATTATATGCTTTTAGTCGTTGAATATGAAAGAATTAATAGAATTGCATGAACGGGTAAATCTAATTATGAATAGCAATTCTAATACAATTCATATAAAAAATGGAAATCAATGTTTTTATGATGATGATGTTCAAAAGCAATTTTATACAAAAATAGGTGAAGCAGAACAAAATTTTCAAATGCTACCAACAAATATCTGTGACAAAGGTAACAAAAATAATATTTTGAATATAATATAGTTTTATATTTCATTATTTTTCTGAGAAATGTATATGCATAACATTGATATAAATATTTTATTTTATAGAACTAATGCAGAATACAATTGTGTTATCAAGTTCAGAAGAACAAAATACACATTTAAAAAATCAATGGCAATTTATTGCTTCTGGTGATACTCAAAAGTATCCAACCTTACAAACACATGAATATAAATTACGTTTGGAACAAAATTTTGGGTAATTTAATAAGTTATCAATTTACACAAAGTATTACTGAATTATACTGTAATTACACATTATAGATATATTAATGGTGAAAGAAAATCTCCAGGATTAGAAAATAAGTATGAAGAAGAAAAGGAAACAGAAAAAGATAGTACTGTATGTTTAATCCTTTAAATTTGTATTTTTTACTTTAATTATTTTTGTATTAGACTAACTTGTATATCTTGCTTTCCAGTTCATTCAGCAAAGGAGGAGTTTTATTAACCAATGTAGTGCATACCATAAATTAACCAATACTTATGAATGCTTAAGAACTTTTCATGGAGATTAGTTTTATTAAACAAACCTTTTGAAGACACAATTTGTTAATACTTTTTACAAAATTATTTGTCCCTTTACAAAAATAAACATTGTAAAGAGTATGC